GACGCGTAAGGGGAGACATGGTAACCACCTACAAAATTCTTAGGGGAATTGACAGGGTGGACAAAGACAAACTCTTCAGCGCGCGTGGAACACGATCAAGGGGACACAGGTGGAAACTTAGTACCCAAATGAGCCACGGAAATATTAGAAAGAATTTTTTCAGAGTCAGAGTAGTTAGTAAATGGAATGCATTAGGCAGTGATGTGGTGGAGGCTGACGCCATACACAGTTTCAAATGTAGATATGATAGAGCCCAGTAGGCTCAGGAATCTGTACACCAGTTGATTGACAGTTGAGAGGCGAGGCCAAAGAGCTAAGCTCAACCCCCGCAAGCACAATTAGGTGAGTACAGGAAGCAGCCCGTAGCAGCTGTCTAACTCCCAGGTACCTGTAACTGCTAGGTAACAGGGGTATCAGGGAGAACGAAAATCTGCGCATTTGTTTCTGCCGGCTGCCGGGATTGATCCCCGGTCCCCTAAGTCCACGAGTCTACAGCGCTGTCCACTCAGCTACCAGCCCCCTGCATATATGTGTGTGATAGTGACTGTTCCACCAGGCAGGGGTCGGGTGTTCCAGGCTTCAAGTGCCCAGGTGATTGACATGATCCATCCACTGTTGTGTGGTATACACTTGATTATATATATATATATATATATATATATATATATATATATATATATATATATATACACACATATATATATATATATATATATATATATATATATATATATATATATATATATATATATATATATATATATATATATATATATATATATATATATATATATATATATATATATATATATTATATATATATATATATATATATATATATATATATATATATATATATATATATATATATATATATATATATATATATATATATATATATATATATATATATATATATATATATATATATATATATATATATATATATATATATATATATATATATATATATATATATATATATATATATATATATATATATATATATATATATATAGTGTGAGTGGGAATGAACGCACACTTGATGGGGTACCCTGTTGTGCCTGGGTCTCTCCCTTTCCTTCTTTCCCTCTCCTCTCTCGCTCTCTCTCTCTCTCTCTCTCTCTCTCTCTCTCTCTCTCTTTATCCAGAAAATTTAATATTACAGACAACCGAAAATCCTGGAAAAAAGTTCATGGGAAACAGATTCCCGATTTCAGGTTTGAAATCGATACAGCTGTGAAGGGGTCGCTATAGTAGCCAATAGTTCGTAAAAAGTGGCACTGGGGCCGACCTCTATTAACCTACATTACTCCCATACCTGCATGTGTTATCTTGGGCAACTGGGTGAGGCTAACCCTAAGCATCTGGCCTCAGACTTTGCAGACAGATAGACGTTGTCGTTGATAGTTTTTATATAGATCTCTCTCTGTAGGGCACATCAACCCTCAGCAAATATCTGTCATCTGAAGTGCCAGCAAGGACACCACCAAGGACATGGAAAGTTCTCAGTTTCTTAATCCATATTACACCTTTCCCGAGGAAGTGAGTCATCAGAAGTGATTATAGTTGTCTGTGTGTGTGGTTCACGTTGCTGTTGGTGTTGGCTCAAGGCTTCCAGCACATCCACTTGCTGAGATACGTCGCAGCAGCTCTCCCAGCTGCCGTGTCAACTGGTGAGACATGAAGGTTAGGGCCACCAGTGATGGCTGGCCCCCGACCCGTGGGCCGGGTCCGCCCTCGACCCGTGGGCCGGGTCCGCCCTCGACCCGTGGGCCGGGTCCGCCCTCGACCCGTGGGCCGGGTCCGCCCTCGACCCGTGGGCCGGGTCCGCCCTCGACCCGTGGGCCGAGTCCAGCAGTAGTGGGGCGTCACATCCACCAGGAGAGTACCAGTAGTGGGGCGTCACGAGACTCTACACACCTGGGTTAAGTGTCCCGGGGGCCAGTGTGGTTGTATAGTTAAAAGGACCAGTAGAGTTATAATGGGTAATCTTGTATAAGATAATACCATGGGGTGGAGGAGAGACATCATCAGCGGTAATAACTTCACCCTAACTGCTCCCACAACCAGCTGAATGATGCATTATTTGGTTACAATCTCTACCTCTTTGGCAGTATTTTCCTCGTGTTCTTGTGTTTGTTTGTAACGACTGTGTGATGATTGTGTGACGACACATTAATACGTCACGGGTATACACATATTAGTACATACGTCACGGGGTATACACATATTAATACATACGTCACGGGGTATACACATATTATTAAGTGGGTCATATTATACAGGCACGAAGCATGGAGTGGTCATAGAAAACGAGTCTCAGCGGTAACTATATTGAGCAGCGGCTGAGGGCGGGACAGGGGCTGTGTCAAAAGTTCTACGGGCCGCCACGACAACTGTTCTACAGGCCGCCACGACGACTGTTCTACAGGCCGCCACGACGACTGTTCTACAGGCCGCCACGACGACTGTTCCAAGGGCCGCCACGACGACTGTTCTACAGGCCGCCACGACGACTGTTCTACAGGCCGCCACGACGACTGTTCTACAGGCCGCCACGACGACTGTTCTACAGGCCGCCACGACGACTGTTCTACAGGCCGCCACGACGACTGTTCTACAGGCCGCCACGACGACTGTTCTACAGGCCGCCACGACGACTGTTCTACAGGCCGCCACGACGACTGTTCTACAGGCCGCCACGACGACTGTTCCAAGGGCCGCCACGACGACTGTTCTACAGGCCGCAACGACAAATGTTCCACAGGCCAGCCACGACAAATGTTCCACGGGCCGCCAAGATGACTGTTCCACGGGCCGAAACGACAACTGTTCTACAGGCCGCCACGACAAATGTTCCAAGGGCCACCACGACAAATGTTCCATGGACCGCCACGACGACTGTTCCACGGGCCGCCACGATGACTGTTCCACGGGCCGCCACGATGACTGTTCCATGGGCCGCCACGATGACTGTTCCACGGGCCGCCACGATGACTGTTCCAAGGGCCACCACGACGACTGTTCCACGGGCCGAAACGACAACTGTTTTACAGGCTGCCACGACGACTGTTCCACGGGCCGCCACGACGACTGTTCCACGGGCCGCCACGATGACTGTTCCACGGGCCGCCACGATGACTGTTCCAAGGGCCGCCACGACGACTGTTCCACGGGCCGCCACGACGACTGTTCCAAGGGCCACCACGACGACTGTTCCAAGGGCCACCACGACGACTGTTCCAAGGGCCACCACGACGACTGTTCCAAGGGCCACCACGACGAATGTTCCAAGGGCCACCACGACGACTGTTCCAAGGGCCACCACGACGACTGTTCCAAGGGCCACCACGACGACTGTTCCAAGGGCCGCCACGACGACTGTTCCAAGGGCCACCACGACGAATGTTCCAAGGGCCACCACGACGACTGTTCCAAGGGCCACCACGATGACTGTTCCAAGGGCCGCCACGACGACTGTTCCACGGGCCACCACGACGACTGTTCCAAGGGCCACCACGACGACTGTTCCAAGGGCCACCACGACGACTGTTCCAAGGGCCGCCACGACGACTGTTCCAAGGGCCGCCACGACGACTGTTCCAAGGGCCGCCACGACGACTGTTCCAAGGGCCGCCACGACGACTGTTCCAAGGGCCGCCACGACGACTGTTCCAAGGGCCACCACGACGACTGTTCCAAGGGCCACCACGACGACTGTTCCAAGGGCCGCCACGACGACTGTTCCAAGGGCCGCCACGACGACTGTTCCAAGGGCCGCCACGACGACTGTTCCAAGGGCCGCCACGACGACTGTTCCAAGGGCTGCCACGGCAACTATTCCAAGGGCCGCCACGACGACTGTTCCAAGGGCCGCCACGACGACTGTTCCAAGGGCCGCCACGGCAACTGTTCCAAGGGCCACCACGACGACTGTTCCAAGGGCCGCCACGGCAACTGTTCCAAGGGCCGCCACGACAACTGTTCCAAGGGCCACCACGACGACTGTTCCAAGGGCCACCACGACGACTGTTCCAAGGGCCGCCACGACAACTGTTCCAAGGGCCGCCACGACGACTGTTCCAAGGGCCGCCACGACGACTGTTCCAAGGGCCGCCACGACGACTGTTCCAAGGGCTGCCACGGCAACTATTCCAAGGGCCGCCACGACGACTGTTCCAAGGGCCGCCACGACGACTGTTCCAAGGGCCGCCACGGCAACTGTTCCAAGGGCCACCACGACGACTGTTCCAAGGGCCGCCACGGCAACTGTTCCAAGGGCCGCCACGACAACTGTTCCAAGGGCCACCACGACGACTGTTCCAAGGGCCACCACGACGACTGTTCCAAGGGCCGCCACGACAACTGTTCCAAGGGCCGCCACGACGACTGTTCCAAGGGCCGCCACGACGACTGTTCCAAGGGCCGCCACGACGACTGTTCCAAGGGCTGCCACGGCAACTATTCCAAGGGCCGCCACGACGACTGTTCCAAGGGCCACCACGACGACTGTTCCAAGGGCCCGCCACGACGACTGTTCCAAGGGCCACCACGACGACTGTTCCAAGGGCCGCCACGACGACTGTTCCAAGGGCCGCCACGACGACTGTTCCAAGGGCCGCCACGACGACTGTTCCAAGGGCCGCCACGACGACTGTTCCAAGGGCCGCCACGACGACTGTTCCAAGGGCCGCCACGACGACTGTTCCAAGGGCCGCCACGACGACTGTTCCAAGGGCCGCCACGACGACTGTTCCAAGGGCCGCCACAACGACTGTTCCAAGGGCCGCCACGACGACTGTTCCAAGGGCCGCCACGACGACTGTTCCAAGGGCCGCCACGACGACTGTTCCAAGGGCCGCCACGACGACTGTTCCAAGGGCCGCCACGACGACTGTTCCAAGGGCCGCCACGACGACTGTTCCAAGGGCCACCACGACGACTGTTCCAAGGGCCACCACGACGACTGTTCCACGGGCCGCCACGACGACTGTTCCATGGACCGCCACGACGACTGTTCCAAGGGCCGCCACGATGACTGTTCCAAGGGCCGCCACGACGACTGTTCCACGGGCTGCCACGGCAACTATTCCAAGGGCCGCCACGACGACTGTTCCAAGGGCCGCCACGACGACTGTTCCAAGGGCCGCCACGGCAACTGTTCCAAGGGCCACCACGACGACTGTTCCAAGGGCCGCCACGGCAACTGTTCCAAGGGCCGCCACGACAACTGTTCCAAGGGCCACCACGACGACTGTTCCAAGGGCCACCACGACGACTGTTCCAAGGGCCGCCACGACAACTGTTCCAAGGGCCGCCACGACGACTGTTCCAAGGGCCGCCACGACGACTGTTCCAAGGGCCGCCACGACGACTGTTCCAAGGGCTGCCACGGCAACTATTCCAAGGGCCGCCACGACGACTGTTCCAAGGGCCACCACGACGACTGTTCCAAGGGCCGCCACGACGACTGTTCCAAGGGCCACCACGACGACTGTTCCAAGGGCCGCCACGACGACTGTTCCAAGGGCCGCCACGACGACTGTTCCAAGGGCCGCCACGACGACTGTTCCAAGGGCCGCCACGACGACTGTTCCAAGGGCCGCCACGACGACTGTTCCAAGGGCCGCCACGACGACTGTTCCAAGGGCCGCCACGACGACTGTTCCAAGGGCCGCCACGACGACTGTTCCAAGGGCCGCCACAACGACTGTTCCAAGGGCCGCCACGACGACTGTTCCAAGGGCCGCCACGACGACTGTTCCAAGGGCCGCCACGACGACTGTTCCAAGGGCCGCCACGACGACTGTTCCAAGGGCCGCCACGACGACTGTTCCAAGGGCCGCCACGACGACTGTTCCAAGGGCCGCCACGACGACTGTTCCAAGGGCCGCCACGACGACTGTTCCAAGGGCCGCCACGACGACTGTTCCAAGGGCCGCCACGACGACTGTTCCAAGGGCCGCCACGACGACTGTTCCAAGGGCCGCCACGACGACTGTTCCAAGGGCCGCCACGACGACTGTTCCAAGGGCCGCCACGACGACTGTTCCAAGGGCCGCCACGGAGTGTTCCAAGGGCCGCCACGGAGTGTTCCAAGGGCCGCCACGGAGTGTTCCAAGGGCCGCCACGGAGTGTTCCAAGGGCCGCCACGGAGTGTTCCAAGGGCCGCCACGGAGTGTTCCAAGGGCCGCCACGGAGTGTTCCGCAACTTGGTGTGGAAGACAAAGCACCGGAAGCAGTCAGCCTGGCCCCATTGTGCCGGCGGCGGCGGCGGCGGCGGCGGCGGCAGGTCCCACACAAGTGACTCTGGCCCCCAAACACGTGACTGCTGGGGGGCAGAAACAACTGTCTCCTGAGGTTAGAAATACCTGACTGTTCGACGAGAAGCACGTGACGCAGGTCGTCCGGAACACGTGACGCAGGTCGTCCAGAACACGTGACGCAGGTCGTCCAGAACACGTGACGCAGGTCGTCCAGAACACGTGACGCAGGTCGTCCAGAACACGTGACGCAGGTCGTCCAGAACACGTAACGCAGGTCGTCCGGAACACGTGACGCAGGTCGTCCAGAACACGTGACGCAGGTCGTCCAGAACACGTGACGCAGGTTGTCCAGAACACGTGACGCAGGTCGTCCAGAACACGTGACGCAGGTCGTCCAGAACACGTGACGCAGGTCGTCCAGAACACGTGACGCAGGTCGTCCAGAACACGTGACGCAGGTCGTCCAGAACACGTGACGCAGGTCGTCCAGAACACGTGACGCAGGTCGTCCAGAACACGTGACGCAGGTCGTCCAGAACACGTGACGCAGGTCGTCCAGAACACGTAACGCAGGTCGTCCAGAACACGTGACGCAGGTCGTCCAGAACACGTGACGCAGGTCGTCCAGAACACGTGACGCAGGTCGTCCAGAACACGTGACGCAGGTCGTCCAGAACACGTGACGCAGGTCGTCCAGAACACGTGACGCAGGTCGTCCAGACCAAGTGATGATAAAAGGCGTGACCCAAGAGCTGAAGTTGGCAACGAGAGGTGGAGAATAGTGGTCAAAACAGGCAGGAGTCGGGTGTGTGTAGGCAGCGAAGCCCACCAGCACATTGTACACCACCACACACAGTACCTGCCTCATGCCTTCTCTATTGTTTTCATTACAATTTTATACCCGTTAGAAACTATTATTTTAGTTAATAGCCAATAAAATATTATATTGTAATTGTAGCAGCAAATATTCCTGTTATTAATAACTATTCATAAAGGTGTCCTTACTGCCTGTTTGCACTTCTTAAGATTATATTTCTTTGTAATGTGACCAGATCTGCTGCCCCCATATTATAACGTCTATATTACTAGCAGACAATGCCTCTGTCTCACCGTGAAAGGTTGCAGGCCAGAGGCTCGGCGCTTGTCTCACCCATCTTTGCAAGGGGGAACGGTCTGGGGTATGGGGCGGGCATAGGCTGGTCGGGGCGGATCAGAGTTAAATACTTTAAGAACTATGACGACCTCCAGACTCCTAGCAGCTAGTCCTCGAGTGTGTAATATTCTGGTTGTTTCTCCGACAGTTTTCAGTGATTCGTATTAATCAAATTTCCTGAGAGAGCGAAAGAGTTGTTTTAGGACTTCTTAATAATAATAAATTTTCTGAGAGAGTGGGAGAGGGGGGTGGGTGGGTGGAGGAGGGGGGGGGAGACACGCGGCTACCCGGAAAAGGGAAGGAAGATGTGGGAGAGATAGGAGGAAAATGGGGCATATGAGAGGGGGGGCGGGGTCAAGTAAGGGAAGGAAGCTGGGGTAAGTGACGGGATGTGTGTGTATATATATAAATATATATATATATATATATATATATATATATATATATATATATATATATATATATATATATATATATATAATATAGATTTAGGGGTACCACCTCTGGTGCAATTGAAGGGACCCACATCCTCGAAGAAGAAAATAAAGAGTGTTCAGAGAAGACCTTGTGGATTCTCACTGAACACTTTAATCTTTTCCTCTCCTACCACCCCAATTATTTTTTATTAATGTGTTTTATTTAATTTTATTGCAATGCTACAGTTTACAGAGAACACACACTTATATAACAATATAACAATCAGTGTTCGAAGACCTCGTCCGGCTCCTCGGGGGTCGGGAGCGTACCCAAGATACAGCACGCTATCCCCCTCTGAACTGCGACACTCAGGCGCTGGAACAGGAAACTGGCCGCTCTTGAACCTCTAGTTTTCCCAACGAGGTCCTCACCCACCTCCTTCAGGAACTTAAGTGCACATTTCCCCCAGGCGCCCAGAGTCTCAGAGCCTATCGGCACGCACCTGTAACAACGTTCCAGGTCCCTGTGCTTGGTGGTCGTCTGGGTCTCCCTCAAGGTGGCCGCCCCGCCCTCCCTCCCTCCCTCATCACATACCACTTTTTTCCCCTTGTATCATTTTCACCTTTTCAATTATCAAACCTAATGGCTAGAATACACTACTTGGCCTACCATGCAAGACCCGGTTTGCCTAACAGGCAGAGTGATTTTCGTTATTTTTAAATTTGGTGAAGCTGAATGATTATATTACATTAGGAACATGAATTACTGACTATGTTAAGATATGTTGCTGACCAACCCCCCCCCCCACCCCCACCAACCCCCCCCCAACACCCCCACGACCCCCCCCCCCCCCAACACCCCGACCCCCCCATCGCCACCCCCCACAACATTCCGCCATACACATCCCAACATTCACTCGGCCGGTTAACAACAGTTCATCAAGGAAAGTCGGTTACAAAAATAATGAATAAAAAAGACCTCAAAAACTAACAAAATAAAAAAATCGATAAAAAGCGACATTATAACAAAAAAAAGTGTGATCAAATATGCAGTGTTTTGGCGGGAGGCATCGACCCCTCACCCGCTGCCGCACACCTCCACGCTCCTGGTGACTCCCTCACCTTACACTGACTTGTGAGGGGGCGGGAGGGGGGGAGGGGGGGGGGAGATGAGCGCAATATGGCTGCTGTGGCCGAGACAATGAGCCAGTTATGGGAGCACAGGAGCCGGCTGGTAATGAGGACACTTTGTGTAGCCAGGAGAGGTCTGTGTGGCGGCATCCGGCAGCCCGCCCCGTAACCTCGTTCTTGAGTTCCGCCATCCACCTGCGGGGCCCGGCTCCTCCCCCCTCTTGGTCACTCACAGGTGCTGCTCCACCTGCAGGGCCCGGCTCCTCCCCCCTCTTGGTCATTCACAGGTGCTGCTCCACCTGCAGGGCCCGGCTCCTCCCCCCTCTTGGTCACTCACAGGTGCTGCTCCACCTGCGGGGCCCGGCTCCTCCCCCCTCTTGGTCACTCACAGGTGCTGCTCCACCTGCAGGGCCCGGCTCCTCCCCCCTCTTGGTCACTCACAGGTGCTGCTCCACCTGCAGGGCCCGGCTCCTCCCCCCTCTTGGTCACTCACAGGTGCTGCTCCACCTGCGGGGCCCGGCTCCTCCCCCCTCTTGGTCACTCACAGGTGCTGCTCTCACTGGTCGAGGGTCGTCTGGTCACTCACAAGTGCTGCTCCCACTGGCCGAGGGTCGTCTGGTCACTCACAAGTGCTGCTCCCACTGGTCGAGGGTCGTCTGGTCACTCACAAGTGCTGCTCTCACTGGTTGAGGGTCGTCTGGTCACTCACAAGTGCTGCTCCCACTGGTCGAGGGTCGTCTGGTCACTCACAAGTGCTGCTCCCACTGGTCGAGGGTCGTCTGGTCACTCACAAGTGCTGCTCCCACTGGTCGAGGGTCGTCTGGTCACTCACAAGTGCTGCTCCCACTGGTCGAGGGTCGCCTGGTCACTCACAAGTGCTGCTCCCACTGGTCGAGGGTCGTCTGGTCACTCACAAGTGCTGCTCCCACTGGTCGAGGGTCGTCTGGTCACTCACAAGTGCTGCTCCCACTGGTCGAGGGTCGTCTGGTCACTCACAAGTGCTGCTCCCACTGGTCGAGGGTCGTCTGGTCACTCACAAGTGCTGCTCCCACTGGTCGAGGGTCGCCTGGTCACTCACAAGTGCTGCTCCCACTGGTCGAGGGTCGTCTGGTCACTCACAAGTGCTGCTCTCACTGGTCGAGGGTCGTCTGGTCACTCACAAGTGCTGCTCTCACTGGTCGAGGGTCGTCTGGTCACTCACAAGTGCTGCTCCCACTGGTCGAGGGTCGTCTGGTCACTCACAAGTGCTGCTCCCACTGGTCGAGGGACTGTTGCAAGGCAGCACTCCTCCTGTACTCCTGCAGGAGGCGAGCAGCGCACCTCGTAGAGGCTCTGAACGAGCGATGTGTTTTTTGTTGACTTTGAGCTTGGCCTCTGTCAGTATTTTCCTCTGTTACAAGACGCGTTTGGCAACTCCTGGGTGACGTGAAGACAATGGCGGCCACCTTGGTCACTCCTTGCCCTCCCTCCCTCCCTCCCTCCCACTTAGGCCTCCCTCCCACCTAGGCCTTCCTCCCACCTAGGCCTCCCTCCCACCTAGGCCTCCCTCCCACCTCCTCTCTTCTAATTAAGTTCTCGTGTACCCATACATATCGATGATCATACAAGTAGATAACCACATATGTAAATAATTTTATATGTAAATAATCATACACGTAAACAATTAATCATATATGTACTCACCAAGTTGTGCTTGCGGGGGTTGAGCTTTGGCTCTTTGGTGCCGCCTCTCAACCGTCAATCAACTGACGTACAGGTTCCTGAGCCTACTGGGCTCTATCATATCTACATTTAAAACTGAGTATGGAGTCAGCCTCCACCACATCACTGCCTAATGCATTCCATCTGTTAACTACTCTGACACTGAAAAAGTTTTTCTAACGTCCCGGTGGCTCATTTGGGTACTCAGTCTCCACCTGTGTCCCCTTGTTCGCGTCCCACCAGTGTTAAACAGTTTATCTTTATCTACCCTGACAATTTCTCTGAGTATTTTATTGGTGTCCCCCCTCACTTCTGTCGTCCAGTGTCGTGAGGTTTAGTTTCAGTAATCTTTCCTCGTAGCTTATACCCCTCAATTCGGGGACTGCCTGGTGGCATACCTCTGAACCTTTTTTATAACTTGGTTTTGTATTTGACTAGATGTGGACTCCACGCTGGAGCCTCATACTCCAGTATTGGTCTGACATATGTGGTATACAAGGTTCTGAATGATACCTTACACAAGTTTCTGAAGGCAGTTCTTATGTTCGTCAGCCTTGCATACGCCGCTGATGTTATCCTCTTGATGTGGGCTTCAGGAAACAGGTCTGATGTGATATCAACCCCAGATCTTTCTCTCTTCCTGAGTCCTGGAGGATTTCATCTCCCAGTTGGTACCTTGTGTTAGGCCTCCT